TGCCCAGGCTCCCCAGGGCAGTGGGCACAGCCCCAAGGCTGCCAGAGCTCCAGGAGGGTTTGGACAACGCTCTGAGGGCCAGGGTGGGATTGTTGGGGTGTCTGTGCAGGGCCAGGGGTTGGACTCACTGACCCTTGTGGTCCCTTTTAACTCAGGATAGTCTGTGATCCTGAGACAGGCAGGATCTTGAAACAACCACAGTCAGACACCAGAATAATCACGGAATATTAAGGTTGGAAAAGACCTCCAAGATCATCCAGTCAAACATGCTGTGTGGGATGGTTGATGCTGAGACATCTGTGTCATCTTATGTCTGGACATTCCTCTTCACAAGCCTAAAGGCAAAAAAACCTTTTAAAAGATTCGTTTTTGCACAGAATCTCTTTAGTTCTGGACAAAGGTCTCAGAGCAGGGTCAGTTTAAAGCTGTGCTGGTCCATGCAGTGCCAACCCCAGCTCTTCTCTGCAGGGTTCCTACATCCCTGCACCAAACAGAGACATTCCTCCACAGTTCCACGTCCTTTAGGATCTGTGAAGCACTGGTGCCAAACATCCAGAGGTGTGTGGGTCAGGTTTGTGCCTGCTCAGCACAGGAGGGGGGTATTTCCTGGCAAAAAAAAATGAGTTCAGGCTCCATCCAGCACATGTGAACGAGGGTGTAACATTTGCTCCATTTTCTGTGACAATCTGTTGGGATTTATGAGAAACGAGGAAAACAGTTGAGAAATCCTGGATGAAAGGTCTGATTTGTAAAGATGTTTATGCACCTGGCACTGAAGGCAGATACAGGCAGACATCTGGGCACTTGTCTCCTTCCAGCCACACAGCAAGAGCTGCAGTTACGTGTAGCTTCAGGTGCTGCTCAGAAATGTGAGCTGAGTGACAGAGCTCTGGCCACAAAAGGTGAAGGAAACTGCTTGAACCAGATGCCCAAATCATCAGGTTAATTTGAGACTCTTTTTCCTTCCTGGAGGCACGAACTCTGTGGGTGACAGGCTCTGCTGCTCCTCTCAGCAAGTGAACCCTGGAAAGCTGCAGTGCTGTGGCTCTGTCTCATAATTTGTGCAAACAACTGGTGGCATCTTTTCAAAGAGAGCCCCTTCTTTGACAAAATGATGTCATTTGCTGCCCAGCCTTTCCTCCCTGTGAGCAAATAGTGCTGCGTTCCCTTCCCCACGTCCAGGGGATCAGCTTTCACCCTCGGTGACCAGAATGAGGAGCCCGGGAACGGGAGCCAAGGGAGATTTATTATATCACTGAACTGGCATCTGGAATGTCACAGAGTATCCGAGCTCTGACATAACTCTGAAACTTGGCACAGCTGGAATATGGGTTGTAACAGGTAATGCTGCTATTGTATTTCCCTGTTTTCTTTAGGATAATTGTTGCATTGGTACAGAGGTTAAACACTTCCCTCTGCTTGTTTGCCTGTAATACTGAAGCTTTAGTTTATCAGTTATATTTTATTTTTATTATCATATTTTATCTTATTTTACGTTTTTATTTGTTTTATATTATTGTATTTATATTATATATTTGTATTATTATATCTTTAATAACGTTATATTATTTTAAAAGAAAATTTTCACTCTTCTTGATTTTCTCTGCCTGCTGTTCTCTGCTCTGTTATTTTAATGGCATTCCCATATGGACATTTTTCATCTGCTCTGGCCCCCTGTGCCCCCTCACTTCACCCTCTCTTAGTAAAAGGAGCTCTCATCAGTATCTGTGCCCTCCTGTGCCATCGCAGTCAGAGCTGGCTGGTGAATAGAGCAGCAAGGGGTTTTTTTGATCCTGCAAAGTGCTTTCCCCTGCACGTCTCCTGTGTGCATTTTGCATGAGTTCAGAGAGGGCTTTCCACAGAGGGGAAGGCAAATCCTCTGGGCATCGCTTGCAGGGCTGCAATCACGACCCACTGGACTTGCCCAGGTGCTGTGAGCAGAAGCCCTGACTCTCAGACTGCAGCAGCTTTCCACGCTCTGCCTCATTGCCCTTTTTCTTATTTCTCTTTCCCCCTGCACGTGTTACTGGGCAGGAGACTCCCACTGGCTGTAATTGCCATCACCTTCCATCTGCCCACGACAACAGGGCAATAAAAACCTGAACTGCTCATGGTAAACAAATAAAATACACTCCCTTTCCCCAGAAGCCTTGAAGAACATTTCTGGAAAGGGAAGTGCAGTGATTTGGCTTTTCTGACCTGCTCACAGGATTTACCCGGGATTTGGGATGCCTGGAGCTGGAACGGTGGCCCCAGGGGATTCTGGAAGCTGTGATCCATCCCTGTCGTGGTCAGGACCCAACATCTCTCTGGAGAACAGTTTCCTGCTCCTGCCTGACACACACGATGGGCCAGGTGAAGTGGCTTCGAGTGCCACCCCGTGCATGCCAGGAGATGACTCTATTTTACATGATTCGTGCGCTAAAAATGTGCAGATACAGTGTCAGAAGGTGCCTCGTGAATCCTTCAGCAAAATCAGACAGCAGGAGGACAGGTTTACTGCAAGAAATTTGAATTGCTCAACGTAGCAAAAGTCATTGAATTGGTTTAGTGAAAAAAAAAAGAGAAAAAAGCGAGAGTGTCACTGAACAGCTGCATTTGCATGAGCTGAGTGACAACTCCGAGGAAATGTATCCGTTTACAATTTTACTAAAATAAAGTAAATTAAGAAATTTCAAGTAAAAACTTGAAATGCATCTTGAATTCTGTCCTGTTTACTCAGTTTAATCCACCCCGGGAGGTGCCGTGGGGGCCGGGGTCAGTCCCCACGCGTGGGCAGGTGTTCGGGGGGATC